TTATTATTTATTTTATTTATTATATATATATATATATATAAAAATAAAAATAAAAATAAAAATAAATGGATGGCTTGGGTGATTTCATACATACCAACCCACTTTAACAATCAGATTTTTAAATATTCAGAGGTGTCTTTCTTTGATCTCTTTAAATGCTGGAGTCGGAAGAACAAATTGTCCTGCAATAATATATCAAACGTTAATCCCTAAAAGGGATCAGTCAAATTGTGTGGCACAATACAGTTTCAATGAAATTAGTCATCCCTCGATTTCTTTTTTGATCCCCTCCTGAATGGTAGCTACTACAGTGGCAATTTTGTCTCGTACACTTTCAGCATTCAGTTTTGTCCCCAGGCTTTCCAGTAAGCAGTCAACAATTTTGCAAAATCCTGACTTCTCCATTAGCTTAAATGGTCTTCCATTTACAGTGATTAATTCTAGGCAAGCATCCAGTAAGGCAGGTTCATCAAAAGTTATTGTTGTTGCCTTAGTTGTGAACACGGAGTCCAAAATACCTTGTGTTATAGTAGACTTCTTGATGTGGGTTCACCAGAATTGCATGCATGTTGTCATCATTTATGATTTTTATGCTGTAATTTTTTTTCTAAAGCAAATGCAGCATACTCCTCTCGATGGTGTCTTTGAGTGTGCCTTTCCAGGTTGGCAACATAGTTGAATGGCACTCTGGTTTCCCAATTTGACAAGCACTTTTTTTTTTTAAACTGTCATATTTGAAGAACTTTCTTGCATGATTAATTCTCAGTTGTTGTAATAAACTATATAATATTTTTTAAATAAACCAAAGGCAATAGTGTAGCCCAGTTGCATATTTCCAGAATCTAATCAAATATGGTTGTGTTTTAGCAAAGTAGCGGCAAGAAGTCTGAGAAGTAGTTCAGAAAGGGATGATCTTGTGTCACTAACAATCCATGCAAGGTAATTTAATTTCAAACTTTCACAGAGCTTGTTCTGACTCTAGACTCCTCCTTTCCAAATTACAAGCTGCTTCTCAGATTCCTTGCCAGTGACACTACTTTGCTAATACACTAGCAGGGTTAGATTGGGGAGAAGCTGGAAGTAAC